GAGCTGCCCAGTACAACCAGTCTGATACAAGCAGACACTGAGCAGCTCCACTGGAGCAGCTGGAGGCTCTAGGTGCCTTGCTCCAGGGCACTTCAGCAGTGTGGGTTAGTGAGAGCTGTTGGGACTGAACCAAAGGACTAGTAAACCTTTACCACTACAGGGAGTCATCAGATTCACTGTTCACATCCAAATATCACTTCATGGACCTTTACCTTGTGTTTGTCTCTGTGTGGACAGACATAATGTGAGCTCATTCTTCATGATTCCTCCACAGAGTGGACCAGGAGAGCTCAGAGGTTCCCAGTGGTCAGTCTGCCCAGCAGCATCAAACACACCTGGACTCCATATTTATGGTCTGTACATGGACAACAACTACTTTTACATCTATTGTGTTCACAATAATCTCCATGCTGCACTTTTTAGACCAGTGGATTGTCAGTCTGTCCAACATGGATCCATGATTTGACTTTGATTGAGTCATTCATATAATATTCTGTTCCAGCTGCTGGAGGACAACATTGTCACTTTTGTGAAGAACGAGCTGAAGAAGATCCAGAAGGTTCTGAGTTCAGATTACCCAGAATGCTTGGAGAGTCAGAGGGAGGATGAGGAGGTGTTGGACGGTGAGGATGAAGAGCAGAGGAGGAGCAGCAGAGAGGCATTTCTGAAGATCACACTGCACTTCCTGAGGAGAATGAAGCAGGAGGAGCTGGCTGACTGTCTGCAGAGCAGTAAGAGGATTTCTCTAAAGATTGAACTCGCTGGATAAATGAGACATTTACTGATGTCTCAACAGACGGACCAAAATATATTCACATACTCATTCTTTAAAGCAGCGTTTCCCAAACTTTGGGTTGGGACCCAGAATGGGTCACTGATAGGGATCGACTGATATGTTTCTTTCAGGGCCGTTACAGATACCGATTATTAGTAATGAAGGAAACCGTACATTCGCAGGAAACATTCTTTTGAATAACCAGCGAAACTGTGGCGTGTGTGGAGGCTCTCAATGTGAACAACGCCACCTTGGGAATTGCACCCAAGGAATTATTTTACATTGATCAAAACACAGGTTCGTTCCACTCGATAGGCAAGATACGTGGTTCCCAGTTTACAAAGATACTTTATTTAATAAAATATATATATATATATATATATATATAATATATAATAAAAATGATCATTCATCCCAAATAATAAAAAAAAGGAACCTAATCAGGGGCTGAGGCCTACTGGTGGGGAAAGAGCAGGTGAAGGGGAAGGGGACTCAACAAAACTAAATTAAAGAAAAAGGGTTCACCCAGACATACGTGGCAGTCACACACTATGATTTCACCAAGTCCAAGGAAGCACAGCACACAAGAAGGAGGGACACCACCACCCACATCACCAGCACCACCACCAGCCTGCAGCCACTGAGAAGGAAAAACAAAGGAAGTTACTATAGAAATAATTAACCCAAAATGTACAACAAAACATACAGTATAAGACAGGAAATAGTTCCTCACAATCATTCGGCTAAAATTAAAGAAATAAAACAGGTTAAAAGTGTGGTGTCAGCAATCCACCATGAAGCCGACTGTAGCCAAAAGCCAGCAACAGCACCAAGCGGCAGAGACAAGCTGTGTGGTTAGCGGCTATGTAGACAAAGCAGGGTAGGCAAAGCTAGCGACAAAGCAGCAGCGACACAGCCGTGCGTTTAACGGCAGAGACAAAACAGCAGACAGAGCTGTGTAGATAAATCTGTGTAGACAAAGCTAGCAGTAGCCCCAATTAGCTGGTGGTGGAGTCACGTGAATCACCACCTGTAGATTTCGGCCAGCTGATGAGCGTTCCCTATGTTCAAAGTCAAACCTGCACAGGGAGAGGGAGGGAGAGAGAGACCCACACGGCAGCGGACATCTACCATCGCTAGAGAGGACAAGGGACTAGTGATGGCAGTGTGACACTGAAGCTTCGATTCATGCATCAAACCCTGAACTACAGCTCCATAGAACCACTGCTTCAAAGCTTTAGTGCGAAAAAAATCACGTGACATATGGCGTCCGAAGCAACAACTGCTTCATTGCCTGAATGGAGCTGACTGGTTCGCAGTCCAATCAGGCGATTCACTGCCTCGTCTCGATTCTGACAGGTGACAGGTTGAGACAGTTTTGAATTTGAGCGCCTTTAACACTTTATAACTGCAAATGTGAAGAAATTGTGAGCAAAAAAGAAACCGGCTCAACCCAAAAAACTGTTGAAAAATTAACGTACCATAATAAAAACCTTTGAGTGTCCCCCCCGCCATAGTTAGTGAGAGCATGAGAAAGGAGGGCCGTACTTATGTACTGCCGCCCTAGTGGTCAGCTGGCGCAATTAATTGCAGCATGACAACCCTATTTCTAGGCTGCTACAAAACTAAGAGCATTTATTTATTACTTTAGTTACTTTGCAGATTCACATTATCAATATCAAATATAAATCAACTTATAAATTATGAATCAATATTATAGATTGAACACATTAATAACTGTTATCTTAGTCTCTTCAAGTAGTGTGATATCAGTATCAGTTTAATCATGTGTTTAACAAAATATTTTTTCAGAATCATTTTTAATATTTAATATTATATTTTACTCTCAATCAGATAAACCTGTGGGCGGGACACTGAGCTATACTACAGAAAGAGAGAAGCAGCTCCATCAAAACCACCGTGGCACAGATTTTATCAGCGATCGGTTATAAAACGTATGATACCAATAATCTCTCCAGGTCTCCAATTAAAATGCATAACAACGTAACAATGTTTTGATATGTGAATTAAATTTCACACTGAAAACAGAAGAAGAGAAAACGCTCTTCTGACTAGTGTGTGCTGTAATCTTCTTCATTATTAGTTTATAAATGTAACTCTTATCGTTACATTCATGATGTATTTTTATTATTTCAAGGTAGCTGCCACCAGCTGAAAGTTTAACACAATGTTTGGGAAACACTGCTTTAGTGGAAAGAAACTGTCATATTTTTTAATCAATCACTTGATCTTCTTTTCTGTGTCTTCATTAAGAACATATTGTTGGAGTCTGTCAGCGTGAACTTAAATCTAACCTGAAGGAAAAGTTCCAGTGTGTGTTTGAGGGGATCGCTAAAGCAGGAAACCCAACCCTTCTGAACCAGATCTACACAGAGCTCTACATCACAGAGGGAGGGACTGCAGAGGTCAATGATGAACATGAGGTCAGACAGATTGAAACAGCATCCAGAAAACCAGACAGACCAGAAACAACAATCAGACAAGAAGACATCTTTAAAGCCTCACCTGGAAGAGATGAACCAATCAGAACAGTGATGACAAAGGGAGTGGCTGGCATTGGGAAAACAGTCTTAACACAGAAGTTCACTCTGGACTGGGCTGAAGACAAAGCCAACCAGGACATACAGTTCATGTTTCCATTCACTTTCAGAGAGCTGAATGTACTGAAAGAGAAAAAGTACAGCTTGGTGGAACTTGTTCATCACTTCTTTACTGAAACCAAAGAAGCAGGAATCTGCAGGTTTGAAGAGTTCCAGGTTGTGTTCATCTTTGACGGTCTGGATGAGTGTCGACTTCCTCTGGACTTCCACAACACTGAGATCCTGACTGATGTTACAGAGTCCACCTCAGTGGATGTGCTGCTGACAAACCTCATCAGGGGGAAACTGCTTCCCTCTGCTCGCCTCTGGATAACCACACGACCTGCAGCAGCCAATCAGATCCCTCCTGAGTGTGTTGACATGGTGACAGAGGTCAGAGGGTTCACTGACCCACAGAAGGAGGACTACTTCAGGAAGAGGTTCACAGATGAGGAGCAGGCCAGCAGAATCATCTCCCACATCAAGACATCACGAAGCGTCCACATCATGTGCCACATCCCAGTCTTCTGCTGGATCACTGCTACAGTTCTGGAGGATGTGTTGAAGACCAGAAAGAGAGGAGAGCTGCCCAAGACCCTGACTGAGATGTATATCCACTTCCTGGTAGTTCAGTCAAAACTGAAGAACATCAAGTATGATGGAGGAGCTGAGACAGATCCACACTGGAGTCCAGAGAGCAGGAAGATGATTGAGTCTCTGGGAAAACTGGCTTTTGAGCAGCTGCAGAAAGGCAACCTGATCTTCTATGAATCAGACCTGACAGAGTGTGGCATCAATATCAGAGCAGCCTCAGTGTACTCAGGAGTGTTCACACAGATCTTTAAAGAGGAGAAAGGACTGTACCAGGACAAGGTCTTCTGCTTCGTCCATCTGAGTGTTCAGGAGTTTCTGGCTGCTCTTCACGTCCATCTGACATTCATCAACTCTGGAGTCAATCTGCTGGCAGAAGAACAAACAACATCCTGGTGGTCTCAATTATTATTTTTTTTTTTTTCTGACAAACAGAATCTAAAAGATCTCCACCAGATTGCTGTGGACAAGGCCTTACAGAGTCCAAATGGACACATGGACTTGTTCCTCCGCTTCCTCCTGGGCCTTTCACTGCAGACCAATCAGAATCTCCCTTCAAGGTCTGCTGACACATACAGGAAGTATCTCACAGACCAATCAGGAAACAGTCCAGTACATCAAGATGAAGATCGAAGAGACTCCCTCTGCAGAGAGAAGCATCAATCTGTTCCACTGTCTGAATGAATTGAATGATCGTTCTCTAGTGGATCAGATCCAACAGTTCCTGAGTTCAGGAAGTCTCTCCACAGATAAACTGTCTCCTGCTCAGTGGTCAGCTCTGGTCTTCATCTTACTGTCATCAGGAAAAGATCTGGACGTGTTTGACCTGAAGAAATACTCTGCTTCAGAGGAGGCTCTCCTGAGGCTGCTGCCAGTGGTCAAATCCTCCAACAAAGCTCTGTAAGTACAGACAGAGTTGGATTTCTGTATCATTACTTAAATACTGTGCTATCTTACTAACCCTATCATTATGAATATATTAATAACACAAATGTTTTTTTTTTTTCTTTTATCGTTGATCATTGTCTCTACAGACTGAGTGGCTGTAACCTCTCAGAGAGAAGCTGTGAAGCTCTGTCCTCAGTTCTCAGCTCCCAGTCCTCTAGTCTGAGAGAGCTGGACCTGAGTAACAACAACCTGCAGGATTCAGGACTGAAGCTGCTGAATGTGGGACTGGAGAGTCCACACTGTACACTGGAAACTCTCAGGTCAGATCATAGTATAGTTAATCTTTAGTGGCGGCCCGCATGCTACATCCGACCCGCCAAAGCTTGCCATCCCACCCACAGCATAGCTACTGATGACAGTATTTCAGTATTTATATATTTACAGTGTTAAATTGATATCAATGGGGACGTACTCAGAAAAACTGCAGCATTAAGTCACTGCTAATGAAAACCGAACATTTCTGTCTGCAGCAGCTGCAAATTAAAAGTATTTAACTGGAGAAAAACAAGTTTAAATTAAATGCGTGTTTGTCTGTGAGTTCGACGTTGGCTGCCAACTATTGCTCATCTAAAATACATCTACAAACCAAGACATCGGCCATTTTTGATAATTTCTGACAGTGGATGAGTTTGAAATATGTCAGGGAGTAATGGAACAAGAAGGAGCAGCCACAGTGAACTGTTAGAGGAAGAGCTGCAGGTGACACGCTGCACACCTGCAACCTCTCAGCCAGGTAACCAAAGTTACTTTCACTGTCGCTGTTCAGAGTCATACTGTGTGCAGCATGAAATCAGATCACAGTTACTTAGTTGATAATGATAATTGATGAAAAAGACCAATTATTGTCTGACTTCTGTATTAAAACCAATAGTTTGTTTAGCTTCCCCCAGAATTATGTGAGCTGTAGTATTAAACCATATTTAACTACAGGTGTCACATGCACAATAACAGATCACACAATCAGGACTGCATTCTTACAGACTTTAACCATCACTCCTCAGTGAGCTGCCTCCTTGGTGGAGGTCTGAAAGTACTTTGTAGTATCTAGTTATCATTATGGATTCTAATGTTTTTAATCTGTTTGAAAGTATAAAGCAAAAACTATGCCAGTAGACATTTCTAATGATGATGATGATGATGATGATGATGACAATGACGATGTCAATGGCCACAGAGATGTGTAATGGTGAATAATAGTGATGATGATACTACTACTACTAATAATAATAATAATAAGCAGGACCACGGCAGCAGGAACCACCAGGATCCATGAGAACCTGCCACACGAGAAAGCACATTTCTTTACTGGTTTCCAAAGTAGATTTTAAACCCAGCACTTGACAAAGGCTGGTTCTTAACCACTGTGTCATCTGTTTACAACCATAGAACATAGAGCTTGTCAGGTATGATCCCTTGAATATCTTATCATTTCTTCATGTTGATCATTGTCTCTACAGACTGAGTGACTGTAACCTCTCAGAGAGAAGCTGTGAAGCTCTGTCCTCAGTTCTCAGCTCCCAGTCCTCTAGTCTGAGAGAGCTGGACCTGAGTAACAACAACCTGCAGGATTCAGGACTGAAGCTGCTGAATGTGGGACTGAAGAGTCCACACTGTACACTGGAAACTCTCAGGTCAGATCATAGTATAGTTAATCTTTAGTTAAAGGAAGGTAAATATCAGCCCGATTGGCCCCTCTGACAAAAACATTTACTGTCCTAGCGTACTGGCGGCCCGCAGGCCACATCCGACCCGCCAAAGCTTGCCATCCCACCCACAGCATAGCTACTGATGACAGTATTTCAGTATTTATATATTTACAGTGTTAAATTAATATCAATGGGGACGTACTCAGAAAAACTGCAGCATTAAGTCACTGCTAATGAAAACCGAACATTTCCGTCTGCAGCAGCTGCAAATTAAAAGTATTTAACTGGAGAAAAACAAGTTGAAATTAAATGCGTGTTTGTCTGTGAGTTTGACGTTGGCTGCCAACTATTGTTAATCTAAAATACATCTACAAACCAAGACATCGGCCATTTTTGATAATTTCTGACAGTAGATGAGTTTGAAATATGTCAGGGAGTAATGGAACAAGAAGGAGCAGCCACAGTGAACTGTTAGAGGAAGAGCTGCAGGTGACACGCTGCACACCTGCAACCTCTCAGCCAGGTAACCAAAGTTACTTTCACTGTCGCTGTTCAGACTCATACTGTGTGCAGCATGAAATCAGATCACAGTTACTTAGTTGATAATGATAATTGATGAAAAAAGACCAATTATTGTCTGACTTCTGTATTAAAACCAATAGTTGGTTTAGTTTCCCCCAGAATTATGTGAGCTGTAGTATTAAACCATATTTAACTACAGGTGTCACATGCACAATAACAGATCACACAATCAGGACTGCATTCTTACAGACTTTAACCATCACTCCTCAGTGAGCTGCCTCCTTGGTGGAGGTCTGAAAGTACTTTGTAGTATCTAGTTATCATTATGGATTCTAATGTTTTTAATCTGTTTGAAAGTATAAAGCAAAAACTATACCAGTAGACAATTCTAATGATAATGATGATGATGATGACAATGACGTTGTCAATGGCCACAGAGATGTGTAATGGTGAATAATAGTGATGATGATACTACTACTACTAATAATAATAATAATAAGCAGGACCACAGCAGCAGGAACCACCAGGATCCATGAGAACCTGCGACACGAGAAAGCACATTTCTTTACTGGTTTCCAAAGTAGATTTTAAACCCAGCACTTGACAAAGGCTGGTTCTTAACCACTGTGTCATCTGTTTACAACCATAGAACATAGAGCTTGTCAGGTATGATCCCTTGAATATCTTATCATTTCTTCATGTTGATCATTGTCTCTACAGACTGAGTGGCTGTAACCTCTCAGAGAGAAGCTGTGAAGCTCTGTCCTCAGTTCTCAGCTCCCAGTCCTCTAGTCTGAGAGAGCTGGACCTGAGTAACAACAACCTGCAGGATTCAGGACTGAAGCTGCTGAATGTGGGACTGGAGAGTCCACACTGTACACAAATCATCAGGTGAGGATTCATTAATCTGTTCTTTCTATCCTCATATTTTAGAGTAGTTTTTATTTTGCCTCTGCTGCTGGAACCTGACATACCAAAGAGGAATTTTAGGAGTCAAGAACTGTGTAACTGACCCAAAGTAAAACTCATACAGCCAGTTATCAAATGAACATGTAGTGCCCCTAAGGCTTACCCAAAGGAAGTAATAGTAGAGCAACTAACATCTACCTAGGTCAGAGGTACGGTGCCTTTAATAACTCAGGATGAGTTAGTTTGGGGATTGAACAGTTGACAGTATTTATTGTCTCAACCAATCCAACAATATGATCAGCAATTCACATGGAATGTAAATAAAAATACAAAATCAAATAGAGCTCTCTCAGATGTAAAATAATAAAAGAAAAGAAATAGTCCTTTAAGGAGTCAGGTATTGAGTTCAGAGTTCAAGGTTCAGTTCCTGATCCTATTATATGATCACTGATTATACTACTACTACCCAGGTGGAGTTAATAGTAAGTAGGCAGTCTTATCTGTTCCTGAATGTGCAAACTAGTCCAATGTCTTCACCGCGTCCCCGACCCTCCACAGTCACTCTGGGCTGGGCTCGCCATCATTGGATCCTCTAGATTCTTTCTGGTAGCTCAATAAACCAACCTGCACAAATAGTGCCGAGTATTAAGTTACTCTGTTCTGTTCTTATTTCTAACATGAAACCTCATTACCTAATTTTCTTAGTTAGCTTAGTAATAACCAATGACTAATGACTACAATGGAATGAACTACCAAATGTAATAGCAACTGGTACTTTAAGCACCAACAAATCTCAATCATGAATTTCTATGTACCTCAACAATTGGTATTCTATCATCAACTAATAAATGATTTATCATCACTTTCTATATGCAACATTGTTTTTAACTATTCCATACATCATTTAATATTTTAGACTATAAACAGGACGTTTAATTGGATGTATTTATCATGTACAATTTAATAAACAAAACCAGCTCAAACACAATGTAGTTGGGTAACAAATCATTAAAATATATAACCAATTTAAAGCTGAATGATTTTAATATCAACACAAAATAAGTGCAATGCACCTTTAATATTTTACCCTGCTATGAGCTGTTCCTTAACCAAACTAACAATTGCCTTAAAACATTACATTAGTAAAATAAGTAATGTATACGCGCTTATTTTTCAGTCAGCATTGCGTATACCCATTTCTAAACCCCCCTGATGCCACCATTCAGTAGTATCTGCGAGCCAAATTGCCCATTTTTTTCCCTAGGATGGTGAAGCCATGACCCACGCTTCTCTGCCTCTAATTGGCCAATACTCGCTGCCTTTACTGATTGGATTGGTTAACTTTAGGCATGACGAGGAATGAGCCAATCGGAGGCAGACAAGGGCGGGTCATGCCGAGGTAAATATTGCTAAAGACAAATTCACTTTTACAAGTTTACTTTAAATGATTTGCCTTTAGGATTTGTAATGAACCGGTAAGATGAAGCGAGCTATCCAAACAAACATTTCATTTGACAATTACAAACATCAACATCAGCCAGCAGCTCAGCTGATGTTAGCGATGCTACACCGGTACAGTTAAAGGCCCGGACACACCAACCCGATTATCGGCGAGGTCGGTGACTCGAGTCGGTTCGGTGTGTCCCGTACCGTCTTCAGTCGGGGTTCATTTTGGCGAGTAATGACAATAACGATCCCTCTTGACTACTATCAACACTCTCTGATGAAAACAATGACTGACAAAAGCGTGCGCTGTGTTTACTAGGTCATTTTTCCGGTTTAAATTTTTTTGGGCGACAACACAGATTAGCGCCGCCTGCTGTTATGGGTACATATTGCGCACGCGCAGAATGTACGCTCCAGTCGGCGTCGGTTTGGTGTGTTCGGAGGCATTTTTTGACCGACCCGGGAGACGGGAGCCGACTCCATTGGGATCAACAAGGAGCAAGGTGTATCACTCTCAAGAGAATGGATGAACTTTGAAATTGTCTGGCCAGGGAAGTAGAACAACAAGTCTGTTTGCCTTTAGAAATAAGGTGACGAAACATGCTTTGTCCAAGGCCCACACTCAGGCTGTGAACGTGGCAGAGCAACAGAACAAAGCTGCCATTGAGAATGCAATGGAGAATATGAGTGAGTCCTACATGAAGGAAACTGAAGCCGGGTTTCGAACAGCCTACCATCTGGCCAAAAAGAACCGACCCTTTTCTGACCATGAGAGCCTCATTGAGCTGCAGGAACTGAATGGTGTAAAAATGGGCTCAATACTTTATTCAGGTTACAGTGCAACACAAATAATACAACATGTTGCCAGTGAGATGCAGAGCACAATTGTCAGTAACATTATAGCATCATCCAGTAAGTTAGCTGTCCTAATTGATGAGACATCTTCTTTAAGTCACAAATCTGTCATGACAGTTTCTATTAAAGCATCAATTCAAGAAAAAAAACCCTGAGTTCATACACCTTGAACAGTCTAGATACTCCCTTTACACCAGAGACACTCATTGCCTCTGCTTTACTCGCTACATGCTCTGGGTCAGCAGCTCCTGCTTCCACATCCTCTGCTAAGTCTAAAAAATAAAATAAAGTGTTTAACTTTGAAAAATAAAGTGTAGCAGCAGCTTGAGTTTCCCTTTTTCTTTGTTAACTGTTTAATATCTTGATTAACAGTCTCAACAAATTTTATAAATGAATATCAACACATCTTTACAATTGAACAGTTTCTCTTTCTTTCCCTTTTATATCTTTCTACACACTTTCTGTTGTTCAGTGAGAGAATTGAGCTCTAACCTCTCTCCCTCGTTGGGCAGTGAATGAATGGGTCAGGATCAGTGTTGGTCATCTTACTTTAAAAAAGTAATTAGTTATAGTTACAAATTACTTATCCCAAAAAGTAACTGAGTTATACTTAAACGCCGTTACTCCCAACACTGGTCAGGATACTGGTTGAGTTGGTCTGTGAGCTTCCTGATCTGCTAAACAAATACCGTAAAGACTAGAAAAGCTGTGCTGGTTAAAATAGAAGCTCCCCATCAAAATTTAGAATCCTCAATAATGAATTGATTATAGGTCTGGGTCCGCATAGGACGGTGTCTGGGTCCAGACTCGCCTGTTAGCGACCTCTGCCCTAGAAAGTTCATGAAGATCTTCCAGGCACTCTACTTCAGACCAAAGCAATGGATCAGGCTAGATTCGCGTTGGCCCCACCCACTGAGTTTGATGGCTGGCTTTGACAGTTTTAAGTAATTCATGAAGCACTGCAACGCAGGACCATGAAATGTAAATGTAAATAGTGAAATAATTATATATGTATTTTACATAAAATGAATCGTATTTGAATTAATTAATGACACATTTAATATCATATTTATGTATTTAATTCCAATTTTAATTAATTAATGACACATTTAAGTCATTATTTAATGGTGTATTTATTTATTTAATTGTGGCACTTTCAGTCCTCCATAGGTGGCAGCCAGGTTACGTTAGCTCCGCTAGCCAGCGTGAGATGCAGACACAAAATGGATCGATTTCTAATAAAAAAGTAGCAAAAACCAGGACAAAAACCGAACAGACAGACACACAGCGTTGTAACGAATAGTGAGGAAAAAGAGTCTGAGGAAGCAGCGAAAATCAACATGAAGACACCGGAGAGGGGACGAGCAGGCAAACGTCAGGTGTTCCCAGTAAAAAACGAAAGGTACGAGGCATACAAGATGAGCACAGGACATTTCAAGAGAAGTGGATAGACGAATTCTTATTTGTTCTTAATTGAAAATGTATTGGCTGTGTTGTTTCTTTTTTTTGTGGGATGTCCAATTTATATGTAGAAATGCACATTTGCAAAGGTGACTTGGTATGTTGTCGTAAAAGTGGCTCTCCCCTTGATTTTGCTCTGCTAATCTGGCTCTTGTGAAAAAAATAGTGAGGATCACTGCTTTACACAGACGCCGACGTCTTCCTCTTCCTGTTTACGCAGTCAGAGCGAGGAGATTCAAAAGAATGGCGGCGAATATAAATCCAGCACCTTCATGCTTAAAAGCAGATGTGTGGGAGCACTTTGGGTTTAAAAAGAATAAGGAAAGCTGTCAAACTATAAAAGCTGTCAAAGAATCTGTTCAGAACAGGCCACTTGCTGCACTTTTTAACTCTCCATTGTTCATTGTAATACTGCACTTTAAATAAAATAAAAAAAAAATAAAAAATTCTCACCACATCTTTGATTCATTTTGTCCAGCATTTGCAAGCTGTAGACTATCTGTCCAGTCAGAGCCATATATTGAATATATATTTCAGTTTTTAGTTCAATTAATTCAATCCAATTCAATGGAACACTCACAACAAGTCACCAAAATGACACTGTCCCTTTAAAATCTTTCAAAAAATTATGTAAGTGTATCGAATCGTATCTTGAGCTGAATATCGTGTATCGTATCGTATCGTATCGTGAGATTAGTGTATTGCTACAGCCCTAGTTCAGAGAGTATATCACTTTTAATTTGGACCGGTTTGCCGATAAATCGCCAAAAACCGGTCCAAAAAATGAATGGGTGTGTATTGCGAGAATGTTCAGCCGCTAGAGTGCGTGACATCATCACTAGAGTGTGGGGAGAGAGAAAAATTTGTCAAAAAATACATTTGTAAACTGCTCTCAAGTCAACAAATGTCACTCTACAGAAATAATTTATAGATAGAAACGTAGGTAAATCCGTTGGGGTCTCAGTGATACCACTGTTGAAGCTGTCAGACAAATAGTTTTGGCGGGAGACACACTGATGCGCCAGCAACACCCTCTCATGGCCCCATCTACTCCCATGTTAAAATGGAGAGGAGAAATGTTTAAAGGAGCTCGTTGAACCTCTTCTCTCTCAATCTCCCCAGGTCACATTTTTTAACTTTAGCCACTGAAACTCGGCAGTGCTATAGTCAACAAGATGACGACGCTCACGGTGTTTTCGGTTTTCATTTGGGTCGTTCCTGGCCATGGGTTCGAGGGGATTCATTTTAAATGTTTCTGTCTCTCTCAAGACTCTCAAGTGCTGTGGCCTCCCCTGGTTGCCACGACAACAAAGGCCTGGCTGTGAACACACACACACACACACACACTGGCACACACACACACACATACACACACACAGCTAGCTACAGAGGCTGACAAGGCATTAATAAGCTAGCGCTAGCTAAAGATAATTAGCAGGCGGCTAACAAACAAACAATTTAAAGCTGAATGATTTTAATATTAACACAAAATAAGAACAATACACCTTAAATATTTTACCCTACTATGAGCTGTTCCTTAATTTACATTAGCACTTCTTCAGGAGCATAATACAATTAAACACATTGACTAAAGCTAGCACTTAGCTACGCTAGCTAAGTGCTAATCGCTAGCTTTGGTTAATGTGTTTAGCTAGCTAAAGAGAGTGACATGGTATTAATATGTTAGCGCTAGCTAGGGAGGATTACATGAACAGAGAACGTCTAATAAGGAGAGAACTTCCACTCTCAGTAAGTAGTCCGGGTTCTGAGCTGTTGCAGTTCCCCTCTGGCTCCATGTGAGGGCGCTCACAGGATGAGTGCAGAATGAATGGAGCTCTATGGAGCTATACCCTCACAATCCACTTTTCTCAGGATATCATTGTTTGTCTAGTAATTTGAATGTTGCATTCGAAAGGGGACGCAAAGAAATGACACATTGCTGGGTGTTAGATTTGTTAGAGTCACTTATTTGCTTTAAAAAGTCTTTTAAAATGTCAATGACGTCATACGGCAAGCCTCGAGTCTCTTTGTGCTTCGACGACACAGACGTAACGATCGGCAGATAAAAGTACCAGCAACACAAAAAAAGTTGCTGTGTTAAAAAAAAAGAACTTGGGCGAAAAAATCCGCCTTAACATTGTGGTCCCGGTTCGGATGCCACGATGCCATCGAGCGGGATCTCTGGTCGTAATCAGTCCTTCACTGACCAATCAGCGTTCATTAGCAGAATGCTAGCGCGTTATGGGCAACAACAACTCGTCCTGTAAGAAATCTAAAGGACATCAGAACTCGTTCATTCAGCTTTCGACCTATAACCCATGTTGAACTTTAAAAACTACAATCACATCTGAGATTTCTCAACCACAATCAGGTGAAAGAGACAAATGTAGCCGTCTAGCTCCATCTGCTCCCATTCATTCTGCACTGATGGGCGATCGCCCCCAGTGGACCTCTGCTGGAACTGCAACCAGTATTCGGTACAATGGGACTTAATAGAGAGAGGCCAGGCTCTCGGTACACGGGCTCTGGCATTAATATGCTAGCGTGCTAGAGAGCAAGACATGGTATTAACATATTGGCCAGAGCAAGGCACAATCAAAATTTCTTTAGGAATTTTCTAGTTTAAATAAATGTTCAAAAAATAACTGAAACACCATGTTTGCCTCATCTATATTTTCCATTCATGCAGGCTGCCTGTGTGACCAGTAATACCTACAAACTGCTCCTGATCAAGTCATGTTCATTTTATAATAGTGGCACACTCTGGCCCACGCTATCTGTTGCAATCAGCTGTTCAAAGACAGTTTACAAAAGAAACTACTGACTTGCCAAGTGAGAGAATAGGTGTCCTTCCAGGAATAAGGAATAGTTCACTCAAAATGCATAGTTGTCTCTCACTAGTCTGTGGGCCAGTATTGGTTCAGTAATTTCATAATCCTTCCTCCCTGAGATCAAGCAGCAGAAATGATGTGACAATGAGCAAATACTACTGACAGATTTTTGGGTAAACTAAATAGATATAATAATATTAGAATATATAATATATCTAATAAATTACATGTCACTGTTTCTAAAACAGGGCTGCGTTAAAAAAGGGCAAAAATTGAGAGTATACCCAGGGACCATACAATGATACACACCAAAGACTGTGTGTGTGTGTGTGTGTCTGTGTGTGTGTGTGTGTGTGTGTGTGTGTGTGTGTGTAGAGAATAAGCTCTGTGTATGAGAGCGATGTAATGTCCATGTTTCCATGCTGCTCTGACCCCCCTCCTCCTTTCAGGGTGGAGCCTGCTGGAGTCCGATGGTTGAGACCAGGTCTGAGGAAGTGTAAGTGTGAAAACAAAGCAGCACACATTCAACCATCTTCACACTGTGACATCACTCATTCACAGCTCTGATGTCATCATCAAAGTGTCAATCAATGATCAGATGATAGATCAATAACTGCAGCTGTATTGTGTCTTGTTCTCTCCATCAGATTCCTGTGAACTCACAGTCGACACAAACACAGTACACAGATACATCAAACTGTCTGACAACAACAGGGAGATGACACTAGTGAACGGGGATCAGTCATATCCTGATCATCCAGACAGATTTGACTACAGGTGGCAGCTGCTGTGTAGAAATGGTCTGACTGGTCGCTGTTACTGGGAGGTCGAGTGGAGAGGAAGAGTTACTATAACAGTGAGTTACAGAGGAATCAGCAGGAGAGGAAACAGTATAGACTGTTTGTTTGGAGGGAATGATCAGTCCTGGAGTCTGGAGTGCTCTGATGATGGTTACTCTGTCTGTCACAATAACATAAAAACACCCATCTCCTCCTCTTCCTCCTCCTCCTCCTCCTCCTCCTCCTCCTCCTTCTCCTCTGGTAGAGTAGCAATGTATGTGGACTGTCCTGCTGGCACTCTGTCCTTCTACACAGTCTCCTCTGACACACTGATCCACCTCCACACCTTCAACACCACATTCACTGAACCTCTTTATCCTGGGTTTGGGTTCAGGTTCTGGTTCAGCTCTGGTTCCTCAGTGTCTCTGTGTCCTCTGTAGGAGGGAGAGAGAAACTTTCTCACTGCTGACCAGATAGTTCAGTCTGTACAGGATCACACACAGCTGATGTTAGTTAGTACCAACCTGATGTGTTTACTGTAATAGAGGAGGAAGAGGAGGCTGAAGGAAGAGAAGAGCAAAGCATGCTGGGATGAAGGGATCATGTGTGAGGGTAATGTGCAGCCTGCAGACGTAGAGATAAAGAAATGATAGAAAGAATTGATTTTCTTCTATAACTCTGAGAAAAATGAACATTTTTAGGATCAAGTGTGGCTGCTTGTTTTTCAAATCTTCTTCTTTTTGAAAGCACAGTTAGAGGGAAAGTGTTTTTATGACTCAAATATTAAAGTGTGAACAAATATTCAACTTTGAGTCTAAAACTGAACTTTGTTGCCTTAAAACATTTGTTTCTGTGAAGAAAAAATGTGTTCAAATGTCAAACAAGAGTCTTTCAGGATCAAATTCAGCATCTGTGTAAAAATAGTTCCAAGGTGTAAAGAGTGGCTTTGATTGGAACAAACTAAATTCATCATCTTTGGTCATCGTGGAACAAATGTACAAACTTTGATAAGTCAGGTTGAAATCAAAAGAAATCAAAGTTTTGGGATGATTCTAGATAATAAATGATGCTGGAAACCACATCTAAATGATGTCAAAGCAAAACTGTCCAAATGGATCCAACACTGTATAAAATGAAGGATTAGTTAAATCCAGCTTCATACTTTATATTGAAAGTGAAAGAGTCCAAAAGTTCTTTGAAATGAGATAAAGTCTAATGATTAATTTCATGAACAAATTTAAAAGTGATCAGACTGACATGTTGGCATTAGTACAGTAGAGATAGTGTCACATTAGTCTGACGTCAAACAATCTGCAGCTTTTCACTCTGTACACAATCCATCTTTCTCTTCTTCATTTGTTTTCTACTCCACTGGTTTTTTTCTTGTTTGTATTTGTTTCATTATTTGTGTAAAAATTAAATTTAAGTTTGTTGACTCTGAATGTTCAATTCAATTCAATTCAATTCAATTCAATTCAATTTTATTTGTATAGCGCCAATTCATAACAGAAGTTATCTCAGGACACTTTTCAAATAGAGCAGGTCTAGACCGAACTCTTTAACATTAATTACAGAGACCCAACAGTACCACCATGAGCAAGACCTTGGCGACAAGGGCAAGGAAAAACTGCCTGTTAAAAGGCAGAAACCTAGGACAGATCCTCCGGCTCTAGGTGGGTGGTCGTCTGTCTCGACCAGTTGGGGTGAGAGAGAGAGAGAGAGAGAGAGAGCGAGAGAGAGAGGCAGAGAGAGAGCGAGAGAGAGACAGACAGACAGACAGGTGCACAGCAACAACAGTATTGGCAATGGCAGTCAAGCAGGACCATGGCAGGAGGCTCCACCAGGATCCATGAGAACCTGCGAGACGAGAAAGCACAAGAACTCCGGGGAAGAAGTGAAGTTAGTAACATGCATTAATGGGACATGAATGAGTGCAGAAAGAGAGAGGAAGAGAGGAGCTCAGTGCACCATGGGAAATCCCCCGATAGTCTAGGCCTATAGCAGCATAACTAAGGGATGGTTCAGGACTCACCTGATCCAGCCCTAACTATAAGCTTTATCAAGGAGGAATGTCTTAAGCCTACTCTTGAATGTGGTGATGGTGTCTGCCTCCCGAACCACAACTGGAAGCTGGTTCCACAGGAGAGGAGCTTGGTAACTGAAGGCTCTGGCTCCTGTTCTACTTTTAGAGACTATAGGAACCACAAGTAGCCCAGCATTCAGAGAACGTAGTGTTCTAGTGGGGTAATAGGGTACTATGAGCTCTTTAAGATATGAAGGGGCCTGACCATGAAGAGCTTTATAGGTGAGGAGGAGGATTTTAAATTCTATTCTACATTTTACAGGGAGCCAATGCAGAGTAGCTAGTACAGGAGAGATGTGATCTCTTTTTCTAGTTCCTGTCAGTACTCGTGCTGCAGCGTTCTGAATTAATTGGAGCGTTTTAATGGACTTATTGGGGCAACCTGATAATAAAGAGTTGCAGTAATCCAGCCTTGAAGTAACAAATGCATGGATTAGTTTTTCTGCATCTGTCTGTGACAGGATGTGTCTAATTTTTCTAATATTACGTAAATGAAAGAAGGCAGTCCTAGAGGTCTGCTTCATGTGGGAGTTAAATGACAAATCCTGATCAAAGATAACTCCAAGATTCCTGACAGTGGTGCTAGAGGCCAAGTTAATGCCATCTAGAGTAACTATATCTTTAGACAATGAGTCTCTAAGGTTTTTGGGGCCAAGAACAAGAATTTAGTTTTTTTCTGAGTTTAACATCAGAAAATTGCAGGTCATCCAGGATTTTATGTCCGTAAGACATGTTTGTAATTTAGATAATTGATTAATTTCATTGGGTTTGATTGATAGATATAACTGTGTATCATCTGCATAACAGTGAAAGTTAATGGAGTGATTCCTAATAATGTTGCCTAAAGGGAGCATATATAAAGTAAATAGTATTGGTCCAAGTACAGAACCTTGTGGAACTCCATGACTAACTGTAGTATTTATCGAAGATTCATCGTTAACATGTACAAACTGCGAGCGATCTGATAAATATGACTTAAACCAGCTTAGTGCAGTTCCTTTAATGCCAATTTGATGCTCAAGTCTCTGTAAAAGAATATTATGGTCAGTGGTGTCAAATGCAGCACTAAGATCTAATAATACAAGTACAGAGACAAGTCCATTGTCAGAAGCAGTCAGAAGGTCATTATTAACTTTAACCAGAGCTGTCTCTGTGCTATGATGAACTCTAAATCCTGACTGAAAATCCTCAAATAAACTATTGTTATGTAGAAAGTCACACAACTCTTTGGCGACTACTTTCTCCAGAATCTTAGAGAGGAAGGGGAGGTTAGAAATCGGTCTATAGTTGACTAAAACCCCTGGGTCAAGAGTGGACTTTTTAAGAAGGGGTTTAATTACAGCTACTTTAAAGGACTGTGGTACATATCCTGATAATAAAGAAAGATTAATCATATCTAGTAAAGAAGTGCCAATTAAGGGAACAACTTCTTTAAGCAGCCTAGTTGGGATCGGGTCTAATAGACAGGTTGATGGCTTCGATGAAGAAATGATTGAAGTTAACTGATGAAGATCGATAGCAGAAAAACAGTCTAAATATATATCTAAGTTTACATTGGCAGAAGTCCCTAAACTTGGAGAGCCACTGGTAACTGTTGATGGCAGTTCGTGATTAATTTTCTCTCTAATAGTAATAATTTTATTATAGAAGAAGCTGATGAAGTCATTACTACTTAAGTTTATGGGGATATGTGGCTCAATAGAGCTGTGACTCTCTGTCAGCCTGGCTACAGTGCTGAAGAGGAACCTAGGGTTATTCTTATTTTCTTCTATTAGTGCTGAGTAATAGGCTCCTCTGGCATTACGGAGGGCCTTTCTATAAGTTTTAAGATTATCTTGCCAAATTGAGCGATATTCTGATAATTTGGAAGAGTGCCATTTCCTTTCAGATTTCCTAGCTATTTGCTTTAACTGGCGGGTTTGGTGGTTGTACCAAGGTGCTAGTCTCCTATGTTTTAATTTCCTTTTTATAGGAGCGATAGAGTCTAATGTTGATCGTAGTGAGCCTGTAGCACTATCGACAAGATTATCAATTTCAGAGGGACTAAAGTCGTTATAGGACTCTGTTAAATTGT